GAGAACTGGGCGATTCCTCCTAAAGTACTCGCAGCATACGTCACGGAAGTACTGCTCCCACTGGACGACGGTGGTGTGTCGTATTCCCAGCTCGTAGTCGATGTCCTTCACCAGTCCGTAGTTGTGGAGCCAGAAGTACGAGAGAGCGAAAAGCTTGACAAGCGGCTGCTTGCACTTTGAGAAGAACGAGCCGGCCGTTATTCCTGAGGTTGGCTTGGTGTCCCGTCCGGTGCGACATTCTCTCCTGTGGCAGAACCAACGCTTGTGGGTCTCGTTCAGAGTCATCGGACGTCCACAAGAAGGGCATCTGGGCGTGGGCAGAAGTCCTATCGACCTTAGCCATCCTTCGAATGCGTTCTCCTCCATCCTCATCTTCTCATAGATGTCGGCAAGGGTAAAGTCCCCAAGTTCCACCTCTAGGCGTCGGAGACAAAAACGCGGAACACTGCCATAGCTATCGACTGACTGCTCGGCTGTGAGATCAAATGCCGTATGGTCAGTGTTCCGTACCGCTCCGTACCAGGTGGGAGTATGAACGTCAAACTTGGGAGAATAGTAGCCTCGAATTACTCGTGAAACCGATATAAAAATTCGAGTTTCTGCCTTCGAAGCCTTGGGCAGAAAATACTGCACTGCAGGAGGACAATTAAGCTACAGTATGATTATTGACACATTATTTTGGCAATGTCACGTTAATCGGCACAGAAGTTTTGACCCCCTACCGTATACCCACCGTAACCCCGGAATGAGGAGCTACCGTAACGAATGAGTATCGTATTCGTGTTCAGCGTGTCAAATAACCCCCCTGCACCGAGTTTCAGAGAATTTTGTGATTTTGACCCCCTACCGTATACCCACCATAACCCCCAGAAAATGGCGCTACCACACGAAATCGATATGATATTTGGCATCAGCGTGTCGAATAACCCCCCTGCACCGAGTTTCAGAGAATTTTGTGATTTTGACCCCCTACCGTATACCCACCATAACCCCCAGAAAATGGCGCTACCACACGAAATCGACATGATATTCGGCATCAGCGTATCGAATAACCCCCCTATACCGAGTTTGAGCGAAATCCGAGATTTTTAATTTTTGGGGTCGGTATACTGGAATAGTACCAAATGTCCAAATGACATCTATATTTGTAATCAATCAGAATTATTTACTAAACTTTTAGAGCTCCACGCACCTTCATCCAAAAAACTTTCTGCCCCCACCCTCCCCCCTCTCCGGACAGAAATCCTGCATCGCCACGGGTAGTCAGTTCTCACGTTCTTCAGGTTTCTGCTTGCATGAAATGGATGATTCAGTGTGCTGGTTGATGACATTCGTCCTGTGACTAGGGAACTCGAGACCTCTCTCCACACATTGTCTAAACAAGCTTGCTCGTATATCTAGCAAGTTCATCGTGTATTTAGCAAGTATATACCGTGATCTGTTTCATGTAGGATTATTTGCGACTTGGAAACGGAAAAGAATTGAACCTTGTTCAGACAATGTGTAAAATGCAGTTTCATGTTCTCCTAGTCACAAATAATCACATGCATTAGCTGCTTCTGAGAAACTAATAGCGTAGGGGATCGGCCATACTATTCCTGCTATTCCTACGACTCCTGCGATTCCTGTGAGTCCCGCACAGTTTATACGCCGCTTAATTGAGCGCGTTTTGCGTGTTACGTGTTGTTTTACGCAACACGCTCTCATTTAAAGCGTGCGTCTAAACTGTGCGGGACACACAGGAATCGCAGGAATCGCAGGAGTCGTAGGAATAGCAGGAACAATGGCCGATCCCTAATAGGCCAAGCAGAGGTGGCGCTTTCACACGCTGGATGTCGATTTTTCAGGGACAAGGGGAGCCCATAGTTCCAACCGGAAATCTAACGGAATATTAAGAAGCACTCTGACTTCTAGCAAGCCGAATTTGAAAGTCTAACGCAATTTTACCAGTTACAGGTAAATTAACACGTTACAAATACGACTAGCATAAACCTGTGTGCACGCGACTTCATCAACATGTCAAAACTCAATTTAGCACAAAAATAAAAAAAATCGGTTTGTTTACGGAGAGTAAGCAATATTAAGACACCAAATTTGGTGTGTGCATCGGCGTCAATGATCAAAAGAAAAGTACAAAAGTTCATGACATATGTGGACAAGAAGAGTTAAGTGTTTTCGGTTTTAGGTTGCTTCCACGCAGTCTGAGTGTATCTGAGGTTGCGCGGGATATGTTATGGTATACATCTTATTGAAAAGGCCACTTTGACTGAACAAGCTTCCCTTGTTAGATCAATCTCTACATTTGAATGTTCAAATCCAACTTTCGTCCCCTATGCTTTGTTACGGCTCTCAAGTATAAAAATAGCTTTTTTCGCATTTCTTCTTAATCTCTGATTTATTCTTTCTTCACTTCAATCCATGTTTTTTTTTGTCGTAGATTATCAGAAGAGCTTTTACAAACACTAAAAGAGGTAACTGGTAACTCTCTGTAATGTCAAGGGAGACTTCGTTTTTGAATTTAAATTCAAAAACGAACAAAGAAAAAAAATACACAAAAAGAACACGCTTTGGGGCCGCGAACATTCCGATGCAATTGTCTGAGTTCTCATATACCACCTCATGCTGGGCCCTGAGCATGATACTCAGTAACAATTCGAAAACGAGGTTTGCGATATGCAGCTGCAATCATCGACCTCAAAGATCGCTCAGCTCATTGTGGGAGTTTAGTAACATTACACGCAGAAGTTCTCTTATCATGGTAACCTCCATTTTATGACTAGAAAACTCCAGTGCGCTTTGCGTGCATTGTTCAAACAAGCATGATCCTGCTTTGACAAATTTATACTTGTGATTTATTCAACCTAGGTTTATTTACTTTTTGGAATCAGGGAAGTACAAGTTCGAGCTTGTTTAGGCAGTGTGGGCAAAGCGGTCCCGAGTGTCCTAGTCATAGAGATGACAAGCACTGTGGAAAAAATGGTACCGCGTTCAGTTTTAGTTTTCGTCCATCTAACGATGATTATCCTGCAAATCTTCCCTGTTGAGTTTGAGTTCTAAGTGCATGCTCATTTAATTATGTAGACGACGCACACTAGTATACTTCAGATTTCAAGGTAAATCTTCCCGTAACACGATTTCTTTTCTGTAGGTTCTCAAAGGCTCAACGCATCCATGCTGGAAGAACATGTGCCAATTATTGAAGTTCAGTTGTCTTTGAATATTACTATTGTTAAATATCAGGTCGGATAATTTCTGTTACATTTTTATTTTTCTTGAAAATTTAAGAGATCCTCGAAAATTTTTATTTTTCAAGGAGTGTTGACGGGATGCATCAGTTGGTCGTAAATGCGTTTGTGATCTTATTCAAATATTTCTGTCTGAGTACTTTTTTTATCTACACTCTGTACCAGGCTTATGAGCTTGCAAGCAAGGTTGCGTTTTTTGTACTTCTGAGCTTACATCGGAATTCTCAGAAGATTTTCTGCTGCTCTTATCACCTTTCTTCAGTATTACTGCTATGTTAATAACCAATCAATTGTGAGGTGAAAGTTACCCATTTTCAACATTCGAATACAAATGGTATTGGAGCAGAAGCAAATGGCAATGAAAGGTGGACTTCCTTGTCAAATACGCGTCTACTCAGATTTCCCCCGAACTCTCATACCATTGTATGTTATGTATCAGCTGCAAGAAAACTTGCAATGAGGGCGTGGAAGCGGAAGGGGTTTACGGCGAATCCCGAGAAAAGTGCGAGAAGATGCGTGGTGGCTGTCGGGGTAGAGCAGGCATCGCTTTGCTCACAACATTCAAACCGACTATAAATAATATCAACTGGAGATGTGCGTACAACTCGAGTCATCCGTGGCAAACATCCGGCGTGGTTCATTCGTTCGAAAATTGAAAATAAAAACTTTGAATTTCGCTCCGGAGCAGATCAGAGACAAAGGAAGAGATAGACCAATCCTACTATTCGGAGAGTTCGGATAATTCGGATTGAACCTATCGCACTGAATTTGTTCGGAACCCATTCTGAACGCTATCTATTACTGCCTATGAAATCCTTTTCTTGAAAAGAATGTATCCTAGAGTCATTTGTAACTCACGACGTGAATCTTTACACTCTGCACGGCAACCAACGACTTCTAAGTAACTTCTCAGTAAAGCCTTTTTTGGTATAATCTGTAAAAATGTGCACTCAAAGAACATGTAATATATCCAATCAAGTCAAAAGAGACAAGGAAACAAGGATCAGTGAAAATGAACAGGCTTAATCTTACAAGTCGCCAAGTAGCGCGCATGGTGTGCAATACGCAAATCAAACCGCAAATGACTCGACGATAGTCTACCCATTCCCTTCAGAAATCATAGGTAAATACAGTCGAGTAGATTTAGCGGTAAATATAGTGTGCTTGCACAGAAGGTGAAATGCGGTGAAATTTGCGCGTGAACAAGTAGCCACGCCAGTACTGCGGGTATTTTGCGCGCGCAATTGGCCGGCGTCACAGTCGAAGCTATTTCTTCACGCGCCAATTTTACCGCATTTCACCTTCTGTGCAAGCACACTATATTTACCGCTAAATCTACTCGACTGTACAGTGCTCAGGCGAGAAGCTTGATGAACACATCACCGGTCACTGCGACCAAAGATTCAAACTCTGTCTCAAGTTTCTCCACTCCTCTCCACAGATGGAATATTTTATTGGCAAAAATTTTTCGTTAAAGAATCCTATGAAGAGTTCTTATACAAGGTTTGCGAAGTGCCTAATTGACTAATTCAATCCGCGAAAACTGCAAGATTCACTTATGAAAACATGCAGCAATCACCACTGTATTTTTCTTTCGATCAAAGAGTGCATCTTTGATAAATCGGGATTGTCTCCCTTGTTTGCTCGAATTCATTCGCGAATCTGAGCGTTGAAATCGTTTGAACCGGGTGGCGATCATTGCAGTGCGCACTCAGTGCAACACATTGAGTGTAAAAATACACAAAACCTCTTGGTATGCAATCAGAGCTAGTCACTGGAAATGCTTCTCCCAGAATTGCACGTGAAAACAAACGTCATCCTCAGATGTTTGCTGTGCTTGTGACCTTCGAGACGTTCTTACAGGAAAATGAGCATGATGTAACTGTTAAGTGTACTTTAACGTCATAGTTATGTGTTGCCCACTCAATACGAGGAAACCGTTGGAAAGAAACACCGAAAAGAAGTTTTGAACAGAACTAAAGCAGATAGGAAGGACATGTTTCTTATACGGCTACTCAGACGTCTCAATTTCCGAATTTACAAATGCAGCCTTCCAACAGTGACATCGGTAAGCTGAAACTCTGAACTGGGGTTGTGTTTGCCATTTATTGTGGTATCCATGACTAACTTATTCTTAGCGAAAATGGCTCATAGCCAAAAGCACCAAGGATCTGCAAGCTGCAAATGTAGTTCCGAATGCTACAGCTTTTGTTGAAAAAAATTTAGATGAACTACGCAGACATGATTTTATAATTCAGATGATATTGGATAACTTTTTACCTGAGATGTTAAAGATCGCCATTATACAACTGTAATTTGCGCAATCTAATGTTGCATATAAATATAAGTCGACTGGCATTTCGCACGAGTCAGTATCAGCAAATGTCAGCTTCTGAGTTGAGATCTTCGTTTAATTCGCAATGCTTAATGAAAACTATAGGAAGTGATAAATCACGACAAAATTGTAGTATGAGTGAGCGGCCGCAAGATAGGAGCCGTGCGACAACCATGCGGCCTTTACAATTAATGCCCAATTTTGCTGGAATGAAAAAGCAAGTTTTTATGAGCACTAGAACACATCGAGCAGTCACAGCCTTTGCGATAACTCAGATCCGAACACATACATAATTATGCTGAAGTAACATTTGAACCGTCTTCCACCTGGAGGCGATATTTCAGATTTTTTTTTGTTTTTGATAGACTTGGTAATCATTCTTAGGCACTCCCTTCAAGCGCCCTCGCTATTACAGACCTACGCGTAGAAACTGCACGTCTCCGCCCACACTATAGCTAAAGGAGACCAATCCAGCATTTCTTCACAAATACTCGAGGAATAGTCAATCAGTTGTAATAAGGAACTCTTTGGTACTTGGCTTATGATCATGTTGATATGTGAAATGAGCAATTTTCCGTCAATTCTCCATTGCTAGATGGAGGAAACACAAATGTAAACTATTAGACAGCAGTGGCGGACCGGGGGGGGGGGGCGAGCCCTCCCCTCCGAGAATGGGCGAAATTGTTAAAATTTACTTACGTGGGTTATAAAAATGTGCAAGTGACTTTTTTATTTTTGTGAACAATTAGAATAACTTTTAATATAAAAATTCAAATTAACCTTATCTTTTGACCGCCTGATTTGATTTGCCACACTTTTACTTGAAAATGCGAACCGAAGTTCACTAGCATGATTACACGTCTGAAATCGTTGAAAGCATTGGTGTTGAAGTTTTATCAAAATACCAAAATCGAACAATGATCACGAAGCAGAATGCGGAGACCTTCCTAGTTTTGAATACCTAAGTTACTTATAAAGGTTTTCAAATATCCATGGTAACTACGAAAATAAGCAGCTCGTAAAGAGAGATGCACGATTTACATGATGAACCGTGAAATCTGTCACTCGACATAGCTCGATGAAAAATTTTGTTGGATATTCTTTTCCATTAATCGAAACAGTTTGGATCATTTCTTTCCTGGAGCTTCCACGCAGAAATAATTTGTCCACTGGCATCACCAATGTCCGCTTTTCAATGGCAGTGTCTCTCCCTCGTTCCTCTCTCCAATATCGCCTATGAAAAGCATTGCTTATGCCATCTATATCGAATGCTCTCTAGCACATCTAGAAAGCCATGTAAACTAAAATAGACCTAAACGCAGAATAGAGCATATGAATGTCGGGAAAAAGAAATGAGCAACCAAAATATAATGTGGTCCTTGACACCTTGCATGAGATGATTCGTAATTGTTAATGACAATGTCAACGAGATCGCCTTGGAACTCACAGAAGTTAATAACTCATGCTTTTAGTTCTCCTGAAAATCAATCTACGAAAAGATTATTTCGAACAGTAGTGAGGAGACGAACAAAAATAATAGTCAAACGAATGAATCAAATATCTTGGAGCCGTGATAAAACGCGTAGAGAAGTTAGCTGAAACCAGTTGAAATGGCTCTGGTTTTAATAGCTGGACTCTAAGAAGTAGAAAGATTTTTTAAGACACTGAAAATTTCGAGTTCTACGGGGAAATTTACGACTTCCAGTAAAGTGAAAATTTCTAAGATTACGGAGAAATTTATGACTTCCTCTAAAAGAATGCGAACTCAAGTTAGAGAGAACTCATTCATCTCACACTACTCTTCCAGAATTATTTTTTTCGGCTCCGTGAAACTACGCATCAAACATGGACGCGTGCACAGTATCGTTTGTCATGTCGTTCCCAAAATTCTCCATTTTTTTTGCGTGCTGCGAAGGTGAAGCAGAAGCTCTTGATTTCTTGAGATTCCACATCAAGTTGCTTTTTTAGTATTATCATACATTTTTTTATAGATAAATTCATCCAAATTTTCTGGGGTCTGCCACGAACTTCGTGTCATTGCCCTGCATTTTTTTTTCTGGAAAACGTTATAGGCTGTAAGCGCGTCCTGCATACCTCATGTGTGCCTGAGCCTTTTCCCAATTTTAAGAATAGAGCCAAAATCCTTCATATACGATTCCCTAGCAATCTAAAACAGAATTATTTCCGCATATCACTTGCTGTATTCATACTAAGTTGCATCCTGAAGATTATACACTCGAAAAAAGTGCAAACCGCAAAGAAGTTTCCTCAGAATTTACCATCATGAACATAGCAAAGCGTGTCAAAAGTATTGGAGCATTCGAAAGTGTCAGCGCTGTAATATTCTTGGAATTCATTAAACAAAGCCGTGTATCTCGGCATGAGTGAGCCAAAAAACAGCGCACCTTCAGCTGTTTGGCAACGATCCAACCAGTTATTCAAAATTTGTGCAAGACGTAGTCTAGTTTTTTATCGCCCATTTTATTTTCGAAGGAAAAGCAGCAGCTGCCGCAACTGCTGGTCAACGGCCAATCGAAGAAGTTCTGCGAAATTGACAATTCTGCGAAAATTTCAAACTAGCATCAACACAGATTAGCTGCATAAGATGCACATGATGGGTTCAAAGGGAAGTTTTCTACCACCTCAATTCCCTAAAAATTGTTCGTTTAACGAGTAAAAGTGTCGGGCTCACTAGATTCGAACACATGATATAATATTGCAAATTACTTCCGGTCATGATCAGGGCTCGGCAAGGTGACTAATAAGTAAGCTGGATATCGTATTTGGGACAAAAAGCAAAGAGATATCGTTTTGTGGCAAAAAACAACTTAGGTCATTGGTTGACGTTTCGTTCTTTGAGTTTTTTTTTACGTTTAGAGTTTAGGGTCAAAAGGGACTTCGCAAAAATTTGTAAAAGTCAGGAGGGACTTCGTTTTTTGCTTTCTCGGAAATCTACCTCGTGTCGAGCCCTGGTCATGCTGTTTTCCCAAATCCCAATTCCACGAACTCCATAAGCAATCCATGCGAACGTGATACCAACACCTCCTCAATCTCTCAACAAGCACTACGATCGCGGAGGCTAGTTTTCGTCGCATTTCGACTGGATTTATGAATGGCAGACCTACTCTGAGCAAAATTTACCGGGCAGCTCATAAGCAAGAGCCTCAAAAAGTAACTCTGTTGATTGCGGTATAGAGGTCATCGATATTCGAAAGTATGCAAGAAAGTACTAATTTTTGAAAATTGCTCAAGTCAAAGCTACCATTCTTTACAAGAGCGGATGTAGGGAAAACACAATCACAGTGCGACAAAACTTTAGAAAGTTAAGTATACTGGAAAGGAAAGAAGGTCGTTTTTCACGGTAAAGCAACAAGACGAACCCAAAAAAAGTGAGACGGGTATTATTCGATCGATCGAGAGAAACAAAATCTACAAGATGACCTCTAAATACTGGCATAAGTAATTAAGCGCAGAGTTCGAAGCCAAGGTCCACGAGCAAATGACGGCAAAAATCGAATCCTCGAAAATATCTGGAAATTCCTTACTTGCCACAGCGTCTAGCTAGTACATGCACTTACGCACTTGTGTAATTGCTATATTTTATCTGTGACTAAAAAGCAAGAAAAAAAATGGGTAACAGAGAATAGCAACTTCGCCCCTAGCAGCTGTGTTCCTTCCATATATACAGTTACGTATTACAACTTCCAGAACGAATGAAATTTCGGCCTTTATTAGATTTTTCTTATTCCTAGAAAATATCTATTTCAGGAAAAAAAATTGAAAAAAGCGACATTTTTTTCTTTTCAAACTGAAATGATGAACATAAGAATTGCAAGAGAAATGGGAGACATGGATTTTTTTAGGCAGGCGCTATACTCCTCGAGGAGTATAGCATGGCCACGGGCGATCGCCAGTCGCTACGACGGGCGATCGCTAGTCGCCATTACTGGCGACTGTATCTTCTATGCGTATCGATCGCTAACAAGTTACCACACGTCCAATCGATAAACATTTAATGTTAGTCGCCAACACTGGCGACTGGCGATCGCCAATTTCGGCGACAAAAATCGCCAGTTTTACACGTATTTGATGCATATCGATCGTCGCCATGCCATACTCCTCGAGGAGTATAGCGCCCGCCTTATACAAAACGGGGTTCACGAAAGTGAAATCAGAACAAAAATCAAATTTCGTAATCTCTCAGCATCGTTAGCGAACAAGATCTTGAAAAAAAAACAAATTGAGTGTTATTCCTATCAATTAGCATAACTGCGATATGCCAATAATGATTTTGCTATGGAGTACTACAGGATTCGTTGATTTCATCTTCCTGAACCAAAAATTTCGGTGCTGGACTCATATGCGAACCACGTATAGAACACTTACATGCTATAATCAAAGAAATCCTTGAGTTATCTTGTCATCTTGAAGATAACACTCAATTTCACTAGGCAAAAAGATTTGATTGATGCAGCAAACTTATAGCTGGATCTCCTGACCCTGCACTGAAATTTTACTTTTTACGCTTTTCTTGGAAAAGGCAAGTATGAGAACCATAGAGAAATGACACCCAATTCTTTCTCGTCCCCGATGTAGCCAAAATTTTCGTAAAAGCGGTGGCGGGATGGCAGTGTTCAGGGTGGGGTGGAGGGAGATGAGGAGGGCGGCGCCTTTGGCGTGTTTCGTGGAACTCAGCGTATCTTTAGCGCAATTGTTCCTAGGAATCGCAGAGAGAAGCAGGCATTACACGCACGTATATAAAGCCCCTTCCGTTGGCACCGGAGAAGTCTTCCACTCTGCTTGCATCTATTTAACACCTCAATCCCTATAGCTTGCTGCTAACTACATTTTGCTGTTTTGCATATGATTAGCTATTTACTTTTACATTTGATTATCATGTTATTTTATTTGTAGATGTTAAGGTGTTTATCACTTATGCCTTAGAGCTTGAGTTTGATTCATTCTTTGCTTCTCACCAATCAAGCGGTTAGACTAAATTTACTCGCAAAATTTTGTGAGATTTTCTTCCTGAGATAAGATTTTTGCTTCGACAATTCAATTCTTGCAATTCTGAGATTCTCTGCATAGTTGCCTTTGTCTTTCACATACGTTGTGACGATCGACTTTGGAAAGCAAAGAGCAAATTGCAACAGCTTCATGAAAACATTTCAGTAGCCAGAATGTGTGACGACGAGGTTGCAGCTCTTGTGGTTGACAATGGATCCGGAATGTGCAAGGCCGGATTCGCCGGAGACGATGCTCCCCGAGCCGTCTTCCCCTCGATCGTTGGACGCCCCAGACATCAGGGTGTCATGGTTGGTATGGGTCAGAAGGACTCCTACGTAGGAGACGAGGCCCAGTCAAAAAGGGGTTGGTTAATGAGATGTTGAGTTGGAAGGTGAATCTCAAATTTTCCTCATCTTAGGTATTCTGACCTTGAAGTACCCGATTGAGCACGGTATCGTGACCAACTGGGATGATATGGAGAAGATCTGGCACCACACCTTCTACAATGAGCTTCGTGTAGCCCCAGAAGAGCACCCCGTCCTGCTGACTGAGGCCCCACTTAACCCCAAGGCCAACAGAGAAAAGATGACCCAAATCATGTTCGAGACCTTCAACACTCCAGCCATGTACGTCGCCATCCAGGCCGTGCTCTCCCTCTACGCGTCTGGCCGTACCACCGGAGTCGTACTCGACTCCGGAGATGGTGTCACTCACACCGTCCCCATCTATGAAGTAAGTTTTTTCGAAGGGTCATACGAAAGATTTTCATGCTAAATTCATTCCCTTTCAGGGTTATGCCCTTCCCCACGCCATCCTCCGTCTCGATCTGGCTGGCCGTGACCTTACTGACTACTTGATGAAGATTCTCACTGAGCGTGGTTACTCGTTCACAACCACGGCTGAACGTGAAATTGTCCGAGATATCAAGGTTTGTTGTACAAAATATTGAACTACGAATTTTAACATCCTAAGATCTTTTAGGAGAAACTATGCTATGTTGCCCTTGACTTCGAACAAGAGATGGCCACCGCTGCCTCATCATCTTCACTTGAGAAATCATATGAACTTCCTGACGGACAAGTTATCACCGTAGGAAACGAGCGGTTCCGTTGCCCCGAGGCTATGTTCCAGGTTTGTTGTCATCAACACTTTCCGTGTTATTCTGCCCGCTGCTGCCCGCACTCAAAGAGCTGTTTTTAGCCTTCCTTCTTGGGTATGGAATCTGCTGGTATCCATGAGAACTCGTACAACTCAATCATGAAGTGCGATATTGATATCCGTAAGGACTTATACGCTAACACTGTACTTTCTGGCGGTAGCACAATGTACCCTGGTATTGCTGATCGTATGCAGAAGGAAATGACTGCCCTCGCCCCTAGGTAAATTTGAAGTTCTGGTTCATATAATCAATAATCTTTGGAGTTGCTGTATTATTCTCTTTCAGCACGATGAAGATCAAGATCATCGCTCCCCCAGAGCGCAAATACTCTGTCTGGATCGGAGGATCTATCCTGGCTTCCCTGTCCACCTTCCAACAGATGTGGATCTCCAAGCAAGAATACGACGAGTCCGGCCCATCCATTGTCCACCGCAAATGCTTCTAAATGCCTCGTCTCTACCGTCATCTATATCACCATCACCATCACCGACGCACGAACAGATCAAAGCTAATCCTTTCGAGGTGTTTAGTGTGTATTATGCTCAATATGTTCGGGTTCGAATGAAAAATTTTCTTTTGTCCGAACTTGCCATCATTTTTTGCACATAAATGTGGAAATGGTCTATTTACACACTGTGAACCACTCTCTCCGAATTGCACTGGCGATTCTTAGAATTTGCGAACAGCTCGTTGACTCGCTTTTTGCGGGGGCCGCAAGCAACGAATGTTACAGCGAAAATATGTATTCCGAGTACGAGCGCTGCTCCTGCGCCTCTCTCTATTACACAGATGGCTCAGCATTAATTATAGCGATTCGCGACAAGCTCTTCCATCATACACAAGCGGAGGGGAGAAGGCAGAAATAAAGCAGAAAGGAAGCGTGTCTCTTGACAATAAGTAAACTTCGGCTAGCAGACAGGTGATACCCTTCACAAAAAGTCTCTTAGCAGCTCAACTTATAATTACCCACAACATCAACTCCATTACTTTGTTAAACGGTGCAACAACCTTTCAAATACTTATAGTGCGCTTCTTCCTAGATCAGTGACTTCGACTGAACACAGCACTCACCTCGAAACCAATAACCATTCTATAGATTCCTAGCTTTCTGTGATTACACAAAGCTGAGCTGGCGGTCAATAATAGTGGGCATATGAATGCGTCTAGAGCAAGCAAGAGCTATGTAGCACGGAAAAAAAGCCAAGCTTCCCTTTCGCTGAACAGTGACTCAAGCGTAAATGCTTTCGCGACGCTTGCATGTACAACATAGCATGTATAGGATACCATTCTGCACAGTCACAGGAATTGTTGAAAAATATGAAGCAATCTTACTATGTGTCGAATCAGGGCACACTTGTCACATTATGGATAGGCTAAGGTGTTACCTTGCTCTGCTTGAAAAAGAAGCGCAAATTTCGCAAAAAGATTTTATCGACAACAAACAGATAATCAACGACTCTTAAGATCCATACAGAGGTAGGCAAAGATATGGGTGAAGATTGAGCTATAGAGAGAACATTTCATTGATTAGGCGATAAATCACAAGAGAGCAAAGCGAAACGAAGACTGCGTGCACAATATAACAAAGAACATCCGTTTGTCATCAAAAAGTTCCACAATACAACAAAAGAGTTGCTCATTAAAGAGCAGCATTTACTCTAACGCGTAAATTTTAGGTACTTTGTCACATGACTTTTGAAATGTTTATGTTCCATAGATTTTGTCACACATAGAAAACACTTTTTAAAATTTTTTGCGCTTTATATCGAAAAGATTTGATCATTGACAACATGCAATCTAGGCAGAAAAAATGGCAGAGTATCCAACTGAAATCAGTTACGGTGTAAGAGATAGTGCGGATTGCTAGATCTTTGCATCTTACACCGCTCATGTGATACGACAGCTTCCAGAATTTTCAACTAAAAAACCTGAGAAAGTTATAACATGGAATTAGAAAAGAGGTTATAGGGACGTCATAGAGCTCCATTTGGATTTCCATAGTTCTCACAGACGAAGCGAATTATGCAGAAAACTCACACACGTACTATCACTTCGCTATTACCAGACGCTTTGATCGAGATCTGTTTCAGCCGTCAAATCCATGTGCGAGCGGTTGACTGGTGGCTTTGCTACCGTTGACCAGATACTCTGGTCAGCATCTTCTCTCACATGCGCATCCATAGTTCCCATGGCAGAAACTTCAGGCGATGAGCCAGATTCATTTTGGCCTAGAAATGTAGCTAGCTGTTCAAGTAATAAAGAAATGGTTCATTCGCTTTATGATTACAATCGCGTAGTGTAATCCTTTGGCAAAGAGCAAACATACTAAAATAAATTTGCTGTAGAATTTCAAACGAAAACCCAAGCTCGTGAGCATATGTGATACTAAGCGATGGAAACTATCCTCACCCACTGAAGGGGAATTCTCTAGAAATATGTCCCTAGGAAATCTTTTGGTGATCAGAGACTCGTACGGCAACGATTTTTCGCTACCAGACAAATCAAACAAAGATTCGACAACACTTTCATCCCCATCGCTCTGAAAAAAACATCAAACAAGCAAGAAAAAGAGTAAACGACGCGCTCACATGAACTTCAATAACAGTGACATGTTTGTTTGAGGATTTCTGAGCTGCTGGTGCACTAGGAGATGGTTCCGATGGAGGCTTCTCTACTTCAACCTGCAAGCTCTGAAATAAAAAGTTTTTTTTTCGCATGCTGACTCTACGTCATAGCGGCGTATTCATCAGTGAACATTGAGAGAGCATACCCAAATTCACAACGCGCAAAGTGTGTTTGATTTTGTAAGTAAAAGCAAACCTGATACAATATCGCTCACAATTCCAAAAAAATCACCGCACTCCGGCGGAGTTCGCCGAACTTTGCGTTGCATCGCCATATCTCGCTTCAGTGTAGACGATTTCTGAATCCAAAAGCCTTCCAACTCATCTCGACGAGATGTATCTTTTGCATCTTTTTTTTTCATATATAGATGTGCCTGTTTGGGAATAAATTTCAAAGCAAAGTCAAATTTCACGGACCCTTTCAGATAAGAAAATCTCAGGGTAGGTTACTTAGAATGTTTATTCAATGCACAACGATCAAACCACCGTTAGCAAAACTTTGAAAACCTCCTCGAAATTTGAACGACTGTTGTGCCCAAACAGGCTTTTTACATAGAAAGATGCAACTCGTCGAGCTGAGTTGGATAGTGTTTTTTGATGCAGAATTCGTGCACTCTGAAGTAAAATATGGCGATGCAACTCGCAGTTCGGCGAACTCCAGCGGAATGCGGTGGTTTTTTTAAGTACGAGCGCTAGTGTACAGATCAGACAAAAATCAATTTAGGCTTTATTTCCAGTGTACGTCACAGCTGCTGCCTCTTAACTGTGAAGAATGTCAGAGGAAAGTGCCGAGAACCGCTACCCATATTCATTATGTGCGAGTTAGCCCAGTTAGTATGTTTTTGAAAACAAAATAATAGTGATGATGAGTTGCGCAAAGCCCAGCCACACTGTCTTTTTACAGCCAGAAGGAAGCCCGTACACTCTAGATCATTATATGGATTTGATCAGAAACGCATAGTAGCAGCATTTGAGTATCACTTTAACCATTACCGGAAGAAAATCGAGGGTCGAGGAACGAAAACCTCAATTAGGCACCGCCTCCGCGGGCTGCTGGCCCTGTCGTCTCACTGTTGTGCATCGTGTTGGGGCCAGTAGTCCGCTGAGGCGGTGCCTGATTGAGATGTTCGTTCCCCCACCCGAATCGATAACCAAATAACTATGCTGGTGTGCATTTCGAAGTTGCTCCAATGCTAATTGCATCACAAAGAGATGTGTAGTTTTCCGAGAACTTTGCGATTTCGAGGAGGATCATGAAGATGAAAAAGAGCTCTAGATTTTCTCCATTTTACAAAGATCAAAACGAATGCGCAGGATGCTGGAACTTTTGCATACCTTTCAGCAAGAAAGTCCGGTAAGAAAACTCACGATCTTGGACGGGCTCTCGAGGAGGCGAAAGAGATTCACGGTGATATTTTTGCAAATGGGTCGCGGAATTTTCGAAAGTTACTCAAATGATTTATAAAAATGTGCAAGAGACTGGATTTTACTTGCAAACAATTCGTAATGTAAACAATTCGTAAATCAAAGTAAACTTTCCGGGGTCGTCCAAAAATTTCGGGGTTATGAATTTTGGAGCAAAGATTATGGGAAGCATCCCATAAACATTTTCAGTGAGTGGCGTCAGCCGCGCACCTTCATCCAAAAAATTTTATTCATCACTCCTTCCCCCCCCCCCGCCACCTCCGAACCAAAATCCTGGCTACAGCACTGCACAAAATGTATTAAGTCGTTGTGAAAGTTCTTTTCGTTTTTGCACCAACTCGCGAATCCCGTATAGTAAGGACAAACAAATATTCCTCGCACTATTCTATGCAGAATTTCTTCCTCTTTCCAGCAACTAGGTCCCCAGTCGCATCTCTTTTGACGAGTGCGAGATAATCGCCAAAAATTGAGACCTTTCAATTTAACATGTCTGAATTACGCTAATTTGAGGCTGCCTTTTTAGCCTGGTAATGGAGCAATTTTTTGAATCAATGTGCTTCTTGTATCTTTTTAGCCTGCTTTTTAGGTTGTCTCGAGAGTCTGTCGTTTCAGTTTCAAGAATTCATAACTTCTCATAACTCGATAAATAGTTTAGCCTCAAATTTTTTTGAAAAGAGGAAATCCTTACGATTAGCTTCACAATGGTTTTCTAGAAACTCCAATTTGTAATGCTTACAGCGATGCAAGCGGAAGAATGAGATCGCTTTTACTTCGATCATCAAGTAGGTCGCCCAAAATGTGGAACGTAGAAAAAACTGAAGTCGTCAGTACAAGAGCTTTTTGATTTACTCTTTTCAAGCAACATGCTACTTTTAAGATTTGTAGCTGAACAAAACTGACATGGAAGTCGAGTCTAAGGAAATGCGCTTTGAAGCTTGCATTGTTCGTGAATGTTTCTAATTGTAAGCGAAATATTTTTATCACTAACAAAGCATCAATCCTCCCCTACATTGTTTTAAAAATGTGAAGTTTAATGCTCTTACCAGTGACCAGTGACGCGCCAGTGACGATGCGAAAATTTGTTCAAGGGGAAGGAGAGGGGAGGGGAAGGCCGCTAATATTTTTCTTAAAGATGCCATATGACATTAGTCACGATCTTCGGAAAAAAAATGAGATGCTTTTCAAAATCTTTGCCACCTTATAACTCCAAAAATTTGAGAAGAACTTACAAAGCGAGATTAAATTGCGAAGAAATTCTATGATCCTCATTCACTTACAACATAGAACAAATCTTTTGCGCAATTTTGTAACTCATGAGGCTACTTTAAAAAATTTCGCAAATATTCTAGGGGGTTGAAGGGTCAAGGATGGACTTGAGAGGCCAGGATTTGCTCAATAGTCAACCACCTTATCTTTTTGTAGAAAAGTAAGCTTATGGATTGTAATGGACAACACTGGTAACATCTCCACAAACCTTAGCCCTCCTTGGTTTCTTCTTTGTTTGTTCTTTGAAGGAGAGAGTCGCGGGAGAGAAGGGTTGTAGCCCTTCCACGTAAGGAACGCCCGAAGGAGAAGAACCTGTATCAAAGTAGAGACTTATTCTACTGAAAACTGAAGTCTCACAAATTACCAAGATCACTGTCCTCATCGTCCTTCCGACTAGTACGCCGGCCGCTCGTGGCCGTTTGTTTCGTTTTGCTTTCGGATAAACTAGCGGGTTTTGCAGGAGTGCGAGGGTTTGCAAAAGCATCAATCTGCGCTTGCAGTTTTTTGGCATCGGAAAGTAACTTCTGATGTTCATTTTCTTTCTCAGTGTTGGCTGCTTTGAGACAAGCAACTTTATCCTGAGCCTTAAAAGAAAGTTCCACCAACTTCTCTTTTTCGAACAATGAAAAGTCCAGACTTTTCTGGGACAACTTTATTCATTTTTCCTAGTGAGAATGCTCACGAAACGCAAAAAAAAAACCTACTGCTTTTAACCTGGAAAGCAGCTCCATTCTCTGCTCCTGTATCCTTCTTCGCTCCTCATTGTAAGTATTTACATATGAAAGAAGATCCTGTTCCAAAGCCAAAAAGTTTTCCTCCTTTGCGTCATTCTGAAAGCAAGGAATAAGCTAAACTTTTTTAAAGTGAATCCGACTTTTGGATAGAAGTTTTACTTGCAGTAGAAAAAAAACTCAAAAGTACTACACTGACTATGAGGCACGTACGCCTCGCGATACCCGCATATCAACATGGCTTTTGTGGCATATCGTATAGTAAATTTCAAATCAGTTTAGACGGAAATTGGCCTGGCGAGAATCCGCTTCGCAACGATTCGCGCCGCTTTGCACTTGCGTCTCTTCAATCTAATACATCTCGCTGAGCCAGTGGCGTGCGGACGCGCAGCTCTTGGAATATTTCCAATGTTTCCTACTATGGTTTGAAAAAGATTGTACGACTCATGCCTATATCTGTCCCAAATACTGTGTCTTTTTCCATAACCACAGCTGCTTCGCGACTCGCAAGTGTAGCACGGCATTTCTCTAGCGCTACGCCATAAATGTTACGACTCGATCCACTTCATCCATCTCTATTGGTCAAATCAGTCAACTGACCAATGGCGTAGTGGATGAAGTAAACAAATGCTTCGCTACTGGTCAGTTCATTGCTTTGACCCATAGGGAAGTGGGTGAAGAGGAACTCGTTTGACGCGTGCCCAGTCGACCCATCGGTCGAAGTTGGCACGACGCTTCGCGCTGCGCATGCGTAGCAGCATGAAAAAGGCACCGCAATTGAGACAAGCCGTACGTCCATCTGTTCTTTTCGATCGACAAGAAACCTCAGCGTTGCGTGCGCATGCGGTGCAGAAGGAACCAAGTGCCTACCGCCTGTGACAATTGAAGATAGTCAAAAAAGCTAGCAATGTAGAGAAAACTGGCAATGCTCCAGAAAAAACTTGGCAAGGATATCAGTGTTCAAAAAAATCCTCATAACTCTGCATATAAATACGTCTGAAAAAAATGAAAGACATATTTGGAATCAGCATTGAAAGGCGCAATTTTAGCGTACTCTTATGCAACGAAAATCAGCTTCACCAAGCTCTATTCTCATAAAAGTTTGATTCCCGTACTGTACCTATATACAGCACTCCATATGTGTTTATATTTTGATAACAATTTGGGTGATTCTAGAAGGAAATTGTGTCCATCATTTCAAAAAAAATGAAGCTGGGGAAAAAACCCTGTCCGAAAACTGAAATTTCAAGACTTTATGATCAAGTGAGCAAGTATTTTGGAAACCAGCTATTTTTTTTCTAGTCACAATTTTATTCGTTTTGTTCCAACGCTTAAAAATGAGCCTTTCAGTGCTGATTTCATCTGTCCTTCATATTTTACAAGTGTGTTTCCATGCAGAGCTTTAGGGAGTTATTTGAACGCGAATATCCTCGCCAAGTTTTTCTAGAGTCTTGCCATTCTCCGTAGTGCTCGCTGTTACAATTATTTCCTGCGGTTACAAGCGAGGCCTTCGGTTCCTCCTGTAACACCTACGCGTGGCGCGAGCCCCTAGCGAAGCAGGCGGGCGTCTCCTCGACGGAGGTTTGAAGGCGTCGTAAAGTGCCGATTTTACGTCTTCTGAGAAGGAGAAAAAAGGCTTCATTTGTACTAGAACCGTTCAAAAAGCTAGAAAAGCGGACTTGCTGAGACAGTTTTCATTGGAAAACGGTAAAAAGTACTAATGAGATGCTATCAAAATTATGTTAGAATTTTTGATGATTCTATTGGCGGTTAATAACGAGGTTGCGATGACGACAACATTTGAAAAGCATTCCATAAGCTCATGTCATCTCAGACAATTATGGCGAGCACCCACCGACCACCCACGGGCGACGCCACGCCCATCCCGAGGGCGCGCCGGTATGTGCCCGATAAGCGCCCGACAGTGCCCGCGGGTGACCCGATAAGCGTCCGAATAACACCATCGGGTGGCCCGACAAGCGCCCGATTCGCACCCGCGGTTGGCTCGGTATGCACCCTGTACTCGAATTACGAAAAATTTTGAGAAGCCGTTTCCACTTCCGGTTTAGCATAAATGTCACAATCTACACAAAAATAGAGTGACGTTCACACCCCTCCCCATCGACGCTCCAATGTATAACCACAATCGAGTGCTCCAGTTGTGTCATCCAAGAGACTTTCGACCAGAACATAGCTTGTCCTTGCGATTTAATGTGGAGGATAACTCTATCACTGCGCCGTATCTCACGCAAGTAACGTTTCCCCTTACAGCGTGTAGGAATTGCGGCATCCAGCAAGGCCCGGGGGCTCGCCAGATTCGTTCTGTCGGGTCGTGGCCTAGAGGGCCGGAGCTTGCCCGAAAACTACATATGCAGGGGGTCCTGTGAGGGCCGAGGCTCGCCCGTGTGGTTTTTCTTGGGCCGCGGGTGTTCCGATAAAATATTTGAGGCCCGCGGGTCGCCAAGCAAATAAATCTAGGGCCGCGGATGGTCAATGCAAGAATTTGACGCCCGCGCACCGCCGAAGGACACGGTTGGGCTCCCGCCAGACTGCCGCAGCCATGCCAGCGCTACGCCAGCGCCGAGCCAGCGTTTTGATCGATACACGTGTATTTCGTTGGAGCGGGGCTAGCTGACCTAGTTCTCAGCCAGGGCACCGCCCCAACGAAATGCACGTGTATCGATCGAAACGCTGGCTCGGCGCTGGCGTAGCGCTGGCATGGCTTCGGCACTCTGGCGGGAGCCTTAGGGGCAGCGGGTGCTCGCAATAATTGTCTGAGATAGTTAATCCTTATTCACTCGATCCACTTCGCTATTGATGGAATCAGAGCACTGACCGATAGAAAAGCGGAGGTCCACTTGATACATATCATCGTACGATGATTCCCCCAATTACCGTATCGTTGGACCACCCACTGAGTGGGCGGGCCTTACCTCCCTTTCGTATCTCGGAGGTATTTGACCTCTCTCTCCTTACGAGCTTACCGTGAACGGTTCGCTCGAACAATCTTGTACTCGCCTAAATAAATCTGAACCACCAATTGCTCCTTTCACACAGTTATTCTAAGTCCGAGGCCAACATCCCTCGAAGAGTCTTCCGCCCGCTAACAGCTTGGTGCATCGGCCAAAGTAGCCATTTCTTCCCGCAACAAAGCGTCACAACTTTGCTGCCAGGAAAAGAGACTAGCTCTTTGAGCAAACTACGGCCACTCCCATTGCCGTCTAGCCCGATAACCTCAGGCTAAAAGTCGCTCCTCTACGCAAGTAGACGGATCGCAGATCAGTGTAGATCAAATCACAGCTGATCAGATCTTCGCGCATTTCTCACGCAGATCACCGATTCTAGTGCAACAAGCCAAGAAATCGAAATGGCGCTTCAACTTTACAGACGCCCAATACTGCTAAGTGCAAATTCACTCAAAACTCTAGTTACCAGATACCTAGAGTATACCGGAAAAATTGTGTATACGGTAGTAGACGACACCAATCTCGAAAAATGTCGTTCTGACATTGCGTTTTTGCAGAGTGGTGTTACACAAATAGAGAAAGCGAAGAAAAAGCTTGAAAAATTATACGCTGAGATACAAGACGAGTACAAAAACTGCAAAAAGTCAGATAGAAAAGACTTGGCGGCAGAGGTTGAACAAATAGAGGATGAGTCAAAAATTCTAGAGATCGTAGCGAACGCAGATGACCTGCTATACATGCTAATGGCGAGAATTGATGAATCAAAGAACACTCGCGAAAACATGGAAATAAAACTGGGCTATATCAACATCACAGCTCAAAATTGTGATAGACCGAGTACTGTAAACCGGGAAACTGATGAAAATAGCACTGGGGCTTCAGATCAAAACGAAATATGTATGTCTGAGCAATCATGTTCGCAAAATTCATCAGAAAATCAAATAACAGAAGGCAGAGAAGAGGTACATAGGACAAGTTATCGATCCATAAACCCTCCACAAGTACCTTTGCCCAAATTTTACGGCGACGCCGAGGGATTCCCAGAATATTGGGCCTATTTTGAAACTCTGGTCCATAAAAATGATATACCGGTTATGACAAAAATAATGTTGTTGAAAGAAAGCCTCAAGGGGCGAGCTCAAACAGCAATAAAGGGAATAAATTTGATCCCTGCAAATTATAACTGGATCATTGAGACCTTGAAGGAAAGATACTGCAACCAGCCTACGAAGAGGTCGCAGATCGTGCAAAAACTTGTCAATATGAAGTCGGCAAGCGACTCAGCTGATAATTGCACGATGGTATTCGATGAAATCAACATGTTGATAAATCAGATGACCTCCGCGGGTTATGACGTCAGAAAAACGTTCGACCCCATATGGCACGAAACCATTCTTTCCAAATTTCCTCAAGATATTGTGAGGCTAGTTTTGAGTGCTACTCAGACGCAAGATAAGCAAACAATTGGTGACCTAATGACTACACTAAAGAAAGAGCTCGCCGCAAAAGCATATGTCGAAAACAGACTTACTTACTTAGATACTTAGATGGCCCGTCCTCACGTGACGTGCGGGCCCCAGTACAGAAGTCGCCATTGGTCCCTGTCCCTCGCTTCGGACATCCACGATCTTCTTGGTCGTCGTCGGTGGCTGCGTCCACGAGTTCCAGGGGCAAGAATCGTATCCAGCTGATTTCTCAGCTGGTCCATCCGTTCCACGAACACGTCTGCCCATCTCGTCGGTGGTCTTCCTCGAGGACGTTTGGCTTCGCGAGGAATCCACTCAGATGTTCTTAGTGTCCATCTATCGTCCGTTCTTCTCATTATGTGACCGGCCCATCGGTGTTTCGCTTTCGCAACGTATTCCGCTGGGTCACGAAGACGGGACATTCTTCTCATATCCGTGCTGCGAAGTCCGACTAGATGTTGCTTGTGTCGGGTCATCTTCAGAAGACTGCGCTCGAGCGCTCTGTGGGTGGTCCTTAAAGCTTTCGACGTGGCTACGGTGTCGGCCCAAGTCTCAGCTGCGTAGCAGAGCGCTGGGAGAACGGTTGAGTCGAACAGGTGGGCACGAAGCTCCGGGTCCGTCAGTTGGTCGGTGGCTTCCTTCAGAGGCCCGAAGGCGGCCCAGGCTG